TTGCTCCTCTGCAACATGGAGACTTCGGAATTACAACAATAAACACAAGTCAGAGCACACAACATAGCCTTTTACTAATACTGCTCCCAGGAACAGAAACTACACCCTCACGGGAGTTTGCAAAAGCCTGCAAACCACACACAAGAGTTGATTTTTAGAAATGCTAAGCACACACAGAGACTGCCAACTTCACATGCAACTGCGGGGACTCAGCATCTTTGAAAATAAAACTATTAATATCTTACTTTAGAGATGCAGATGCCAGCTTATACTCTTCTTAAAACGAGTTATGCTTGCACCAAGCACAACTACAGCACAAATTCAGGGACCAGATCCCCACTGCTACCAATCTCCAGCTCCTGGAGGCAAGCAGGGTACAGAGAGCACAAGGAAGGGCCATGGGCAGGCACTGAACCACACAGCCAGGCTGACACTCAATCTGCTTGCATTACTTATCCTCAAAAAATGGTTGTTAGGCCAATAGCATACCTAGGGATGCTGCTTCTGGCATTCCAGCTAACATATTCCAAAGGACCTCAGTAAAAGGAGACTCTTTGAAAGATGTTGCTTATAATGGCCAAGACAATTCCATAACACTCCCCCTCATCACTTTGGAGCTTCTTCAAATAAATTCTTCGGAAAGCTACACCAATTCACCAGACTTACTGATTACTATTTCTACAGGTAAGGAAATACACTCAAAAGTCTTCCCTGCGATCAGCCCATCCAAGAAGCAAGCGAGCAGGTGTGAGCTGCAACACCAGCAATTTCACTCCTTGGCTAGCCAAGGCAGCAAAATCCTACACACCCAACCAGTGCATGCATTTTCTCCTACAATTACACAACCTCCAGCTTGGAATGACCACTTACTTCTTATCAAAGCAGAATTATTTTTAAGGCTCCTTATCAACATAAAAAGTCTAAAGGATGTCACAGAAAGGTAAGTGGTAAGGTACTAAAGACAAATGTTTCAAGAGTGTAAGCTGAGTTACAGTTCTGTAGATCCTTCCAAACCAAAGAAACATTTAACCTGAACTCAAACAAGGCCACTAAAACCATAGGGCATTTTGTATAAACAAGTTCAGCCTTGTTTTCACTACGAGAAGAAAGGAAAGGGCCTTCTCCTTTTGGATTAGATACCACAAGATGGAACGCTAAGAAGTTTGCCAGTTTTCATACAAATTGGCAATTTCCAGACCAGACTTCCAAACCTTTTCACTCAAGCTATCAACTGTCTCAAAGTGACAGCTACGCTGCCTCATCCTCACTGCTTCTTACCTCCAGTTAGCTAATTTAATTTTGCAAAATTAAAGGAAAGCCAATATATTCCTCTACAATTTCATATCAAAAGATATTCCTTATTCCTCATTTCACTGTCACACTTTATCTCAGAAGAAACCAATTATGAAATGAATAAAGCCGTCTCCATCTACTCTGCTCAGGATCACTTGAACCTTTCTCTAGTAAAGTCACTCATCATTAAGTGACTTTACAGAAATTAAGACCATCTAACTTCATACTTCGCACTTAAAAAACTGAGCACATTTGGGACAGGGGTAGCTAAATCAATAGCAGAAACATATAAATGGTTTCTTCATCACCTGTTAATTTGAAGCTACTACATTAATGCAGCAATGCAACTCAAAAAGAGAGAAAAGCTGTCAATCATAGTTCCTAATGGGAAGCTCCTGACACTCCTTCACCTAACACAAACACTTAAATTTGTATTTAAAAATGAGCATGCAATGAGTATATTCTCAGAGCAGTTACTTTTTGCAGGAGCCAAACATGTATAATTACAGAGTGTGCACACACACACTTTCACTTCTCCCCCAACCTGCAGCTACTTGCATGAGCTGATGTTTAGGGCACTAAATACAGTCATTATTACACCCTGAACTCTGGGTGCAGGCATGTGCAAACACACACCCAGCGAGGATGGTCAGCACACAGACCAGTATCACACCACTCGATATGAACAGCGTGAATTAGATTATCAATGAGTCACACTTGGGTACGATACATCTCAGTATCACAATATTGCAGTACTGACACAACACCCACCTGCAGCACACCCTGTCCTTGCCCTCCTCTCCAAAGCACAGACCAGACCACTTCACCACCCCCTTATCCCAGCTGGGAAGGGGAAGAGCTGGCAGGAGACTTGTGTCTGTCTCTTCTCCGCCTGCCAGCAGTGCCCTCACCAGCAAGGTGTCAGAATTCACACAGACACCACAATCCTCAGCAGCTGGGGCCCAGGGGGGCAGAAGAGACAGGCAAAGCAAGCAAAACCTGGAGGGGTGACTATCACTTGGGACTCCCAATGAGCTGAGGAATTAGTGATGAAAAAGTGTCACACCCGCCACTACCTCAGTCTTCCCAAGACACTTCACAGTGCTGGTGTACCAAAACAGCATCAGTGTAATGAAAGATTCACATCCTACTGCCCACCACTAATACAAAACACACCCAGCTTCTGGGAGCAACTTCACAGACAGCTGCAGAGCTCATTCAGCTGAACGAGACCACTGATGTTCACAAAGCTGTGTGTTTTACAGGACTTCCTGACTTCTGCACGATTACATCCTTGTAGGATGCAGGTCTTTACTGCCACTACAAAACTTCTAACAGCAAACACGTTCTGACTCAAATGTGAAGTCCACGTTCTATTAAATTCCAGACCAAAATGAAGTTAGGTAATATAACTCAGTTTGCTTTACATTATTCAGATCTGTTCTTCCTAACTTAAAACTATTATCTGAAAACAACATTATCAGCAACTTTCCCATTTCCCCTAATCCATCCAGAGCCTCTTTATGCTTAGGGCTGTAGCACTTTTTAGCATCAAACTCTTTCATGATGGGAAAACGACTATGAAGTATTGCTGTTGGGTACTTCGCGCTTATACCCTGCCTTACAACTTCAAAGCATTACACAAACATCAATAATTACCATATATAGAGTAAAACTGAAAGAAGTATTCATATTAAAAAAGAAACTCACAAGAAAAAACATCTTAACTACCTGTTTGATGGGGTGAAAAAAGCAACAGAATCTTCTGTTATTATTGTATTCTTTATGCTACAAACACGCGTTATGTCTGTGCACGTTCAAACAAACAAAAACTATACACTCTTGCAAAGTCTTAAAAATAAATTATAAAGCCCAAAAGCCAAACCCCAACTCCTTCATACATTTAAATTACATTTCCTTCTCCTTTCCTCCAGGAATGGGAGCTAAGTGTTCTCCAGGTGTTCCCAATAACAGTTTGGGAGGCAAGCCACCACGCTCCCAAGACAGAGTACCAGAAAACACAGTTCTCATAGAGAAAAATCCAACTTCCCCAAAGAACACCTAAGATAGCAACAGTGTACCAGCTCAGGTGACCTTAGGTAAATAACACAAAATGTTACCATTCCATTAGACCTTAAACAAAAACAAAGAGAAAAAAAAACACTAGAGAAAACCACAGAAAGTCTGTTTCGATCAATTACAGGGCACCACCTGTGTCCTAAGCACCATCAGCAGCCCCTTTTTTTCAATGGATAAGGGCAAAAACCCCGTCACAGCTCATCCACAAACACATACCCACTCACTTAAATTTAAGGACACACACTGGAGCTTGCAGCCCAGTCCTCATTTAGAATATATTCCAAAAAGCCAGTTAACACACGTGTCCAAAGGAAGGCCCCAAACCCAACGTGAGCTTCACATGGACAAGCCTTTGTCAGGGCAAGGAGAGGGCACCAAACTGCCCCAAAACCCAGGCACAACCAAACCCCAAACACCAACTTTGCATATGGCGCCCATGCTGCTAAAAGAGCACAACTCACAACACCCAAAGGGCAGAGACCATCAACAGCAAAGAACCTTCTTAAAGCACACAACGTGCTCAGACATTTATTTTAGCACGGAAGGACAGCAAAGCAAGTCAGACAAGCCCACGAAACTCTTTTTTTTTTTATGCAACAAAGACCTGTTTCTCCTGATCATGCCTCCCATGCCTTAACAATAAGGAAGGAATATGTTTTGTGATCCCCTCCCCCATAAATCAGTTAGGAATTTGATTTACACGGACAGGAAAACGAGGAAGTCGAGCACACTGGAGAGTAGTAAAAACTTCACCAGCAAACTTCACTTTCCTACACAGCGACCTACAAACCAAACTTTCCTCCAGACTCACGTGTCATCTGCAGCAACCAGCCCCTGCCATAAAGCACAGACAAAGTTTTGCTGTTCTGAGGATAAAGACAAGCGAGGGAGAGACTTTTATTCTGTCAAGCTGCCTTAAAAGGAAATTCGGTGATGAAAGATTAAATTCACCTGGAACAACACGATAAATTTTAACCCTTTCGAGGGTACAACAATAACAAGCCACATATCTCAGGACTTAAATCCTCCACCAAGAAAACAGTACACACTGCATCAACCGTGCGAGCAAGCCCCCCTCATTGATGCAACACACAATTTACACCAGGGTTTCGGACAGAGTCAAGCCCAGGGAAGGAGAGACGCTGGGAAATGGATAAATAAAAGCTTATTTTATGCCCCGAACCGGGCCCGCTCCCTGCCACCGCCGGGCATCGCATGTTCCGCCCCGAAGTTCTCCGGCAAACTGATCAATAACTTGGCTCTGGGGGGGGGAACATCGGGAATGGCCCGGGGGTGGGGGTGTATCCCCTCCCCAGGAACGGGGAGTCGGGATGGGGGAGAACTCCGGGGAGTGGGGGAGGGGAAGGGCCTCCCCTCCCCCATCCCGACCCGGCCCTGCCCCCCTTCCCCTCCCCCCCCTAAGTAAATATGCGGGAAGGGGGGGAGGGGAAGCCGCTCTTCCACACAAATCGGGCTAAAAATAGGCCTCTCGCCATGGCTCCCGTGTGCCATTCGCTGCCGAGGCCGGTGTCCCCCCCATCCCCCGCTCCATTAAACCTTTTCTCTCTCTTTTTTTTTTTTAATTTAAAAAAATGAAGGCGGGTGGCTCGGAGCCCCCCGGTTCTTACCTTGCGAGCGGCTGCTCCCCCCTTTCCCAGGGAATGGAGGCACGAGGAATTTACCCTGGATTGTCTCTCCTCCTCCCGTGTGTTTTATACCGCCGCGTGTATATACGCGCACATCCCTGCCTGTGTGAGTGTGTGTGTGTGTGTACACGCGTATAGTTATCGATTATATATATATATATATACACACACACACATATATATATATATGTAACCTTAAGGTGTCCACACCGAGAGGAGGAGGAGAAAAAAAAAACACCAGGAAAAAAAAAAACCAACAAAACCACCACACACACACAGGAGGAGGAAGGAAAAAAAATACCCAGCGCGTAGCGCTGTGATATTCAATTATATCCGAGCCAGGGGCCGGGGGAGGGGAGGG